CTTTCTTTAAGCTAGCAATGTCAACCTCTCTCCTACTCAGGGTGTGGCATAGCTTCCGGAGAGGCATGATGCAGTGGATGCCCAGAACCATAACAGCAGGGACAGCTGACATTCACATGGTGCTTCTGAGGTGTCGGGCCTCTGATGTGTGTAAATTCTTCACTTATATTAATTCATTTAATTCCCACAACAACTTTCTAAGTAGATACTATTTTTATCATACTCGTTCTACAGATGAGGAAGTGAAGGCACAGAGTGGATACTTGAGAGCTAGGAAGAGGCAAAGTTGGGATTTGAACCCAAGCAGTCTGTTATCCAAGACCATGAAATCAAACAACTTACTACATGTCTCTCTACAATGAAGAACAGGGAACCGGACTGTGCCTGTCCATTTTAGACAGCGCAGACGCCTTTAAATGGTGATGTCCTGTGTCTTCATCTGTTTGTGCCGTTGTGACAAAATACCAGACTGGGTAGCTTGTAAACAGAAGAAATATATTCCTTACAGTTCTGGAGGCTGGAAGTCTGAGATCAGGGTGCCAGAGGGGCTGGGTTCCAGTGAAGATGCCCTCTTCTGTGTTGTGAGACCGTCAGTGTTGCCTTCTCGCATGGTGAAAGGATGGAGCACTGCAGTCGCCTTTATAAGGGCACTAACTCTACCCCTGAAAACACCAGCCCCATCCACAAGGGGTGACTCTCAAAGGCCCTTACCTCTTCATAGCATGACCTTGGCGTTAGGTTTTTCAATTGATGGCTTTTGAGGGGGCATAAGCATTCACACCACAGCACCCTGTTTGTCAGAGTGGAGCTTGTCATTGGACAGAACATACATGGAACTTAGCTTTGAGGTTACAGAGGAAGGTGGTAAGAATTTGGAAATATTGGAAATGGAATTTAAAAGTTGTTTTCATGTTTGGAAGTGGCATTAAAATGAATAAGGGGTTCTAAGAAATGTCTGGGTATCTAGAAGAGTCACAATACACATTACAAAAAATGTTTAAATAATCAGAACTGTTTTAAATTTCCCCTTTGTGAGGTAAGAGTTAGTTTCTCTAGTTAATGGATTCCCCCCTTCCTGCCCCAAAAAATGTTTCTACATCTTCTGTTTACTTCTTCCTCTGAGAAACACCAAGAGTCAATTATGATCTATAGCTGTTCTTAGAAATGTGTAGCCTGTAACCTCAGTTAAGTGTGGGATATCCAAGCAAACAGAACGAGTGCTTGTTTTGGAAGCTGCTGCAAGAAGACATATCTAGTTCTGAAATTGCTTCTGTTTTCCAGATTCCAAGACTGGCAGAAAGTGCAGAACATTGGAAAAGTGTGACTTGTGGGTAGTTAGGGTGGTCTACTCCGATTTTGGAGGTACTGATGGGGCATGGCCACAAGGCTCTGGCTGTTGAGGGGCAGACTCAAGACCCTGACACTTGGATAACATCCTTCTGTAGGGGCCAGGGAGCAGAAGTTGTAGCTGGAAGCTGTTCTGACTCAGATTTTTCAACATATGCAAGAAACATAGAGGGAGTTGCTGCATGGGGCCATGTCTTCTCTCTGGGAATTGGATATTGAATTAATAGAAAAAGTATTGTGAAAATGTGAAATTTTTATATGGTGATGAGGTATTTTAAACATCTGGAGCACATTGACTGATCTATTGAGTTTGGATGGATAAAACAACTGTGCATAATTGGAAATGGAAAATAAAAGAAGTGGTTTCTTGAGTCCGTGTTTATTGTGATAAATTGAGTTAGAAGATTTCTGTGCATAATAGAAAAAGACTCATCTGTCAAGGTAAGGGATTGAATAGCTACCATGTGAGTTTATAGAAGCAGTTGCAAAACTGAAAGTCTGTCACTGGAATTTGCTGGAATAATTAGAAAACTATTTATAAAAAACTAAATTTGGGGCCTGACCTTATATCAAAATAAATTCCATATTGAAGGAAAGAATTAAATATAACTCATAAATACTTAGAGAAAGAGGAGAAAATGCACTTGAAAATCATGTAGTGGTAAAAGCCTCTAAACATAACCAAAATCATAAATAATAGAGGAAAATATTAACAGACTTGACTCATTTTTTTTTTTAATGGAAGCAAAATTAAAGCACATTCTGTGCAAAGATTTAGACTTGAGATAGTTTATGGAAGACAAACATTGGAAATAACTTAAACATCCAGCAGTGGCCAATGAGTGGGGAGTTCATGTTATGAATGTAGAGCAGGAAACTGGCGTTCTAAGAGCATGAAGACTGGGAGGCTTACAGAGAAAACTACCTGTTAGATAAACTCCCTTCAGGCATGAGTTAATGTGCATTTGACCATGAGTTCAATGTTCATGAATCAGCATTTTATGTTAAGTAAGATGGCTTCAAACAGAAACACACCTAGAACAAGACAATGTATCCATCAATTGATGAAAAGTTGTTACTAGCAGCTTGCAGGAACCTAGCCTTGTATTTCTCTTAGGGACTGTGGTTCAGGATTCTCTAATTTGGTGTTTGTGGCCACTGTATGAAACATCGCTACCGTGGATAACAACTGTGTGCCTCTCTTAGCCTGACGACTGACATTCAGAAGGAATGTCATTCTGACCACTGAACAGAGGTTCAAATTACAAGGCCTGGGTCTGCAGCCCTTCCTCCCACTCCTGCACAAGCTTTATGGTGTCCTTTGCCTGCACTTCCTGGGCCACAGGTTTGCCCTCAGCCCTGTAAATTGCCCCAGGCCACTGCCTGGGCCTCTGTGGGCACATAGTGTCAGTGATCAAACTGGGATAGGGTAGCTCAGGTGTGGATTCAACTTTGGGTGGGGGCTCACCCCAGCTGCATGTCGTCGTATTTCTTGGTGTATGCAAAGTGAGGCCTGTGAAGGTCAGGCCCCCCCGAGAAGTGTGTCCTCTTGCCCAGGCTGAGGACTCTATTCCTGCCTGGGCAGCTTTTAACCCAAAGCAAGCCGGAAAGGGACATTTGCCTATAAGTGTATTTTTTTTTTTCATTTTCTACTGGTTATTTCTTTTTTTTTTTTAATTAATTTTTTTTATTTGCTTCCCTCCACCCCCTCAGGTGTAGTCCCCATAGGGTTTCCTTCACCAATGCACCCGTGCACCATCAGCACAGTCCCCTGTGCTCCTCCCTCCCTCCCTCTGATCCCTCTCCCTCCTCCTCCACTGCACGATGTCTGATTTATAATTGTCTGTTTTTGCTATTATTATTTTTTTTACACGGATACACAATGGAATATTATTCAGCAATCAAAAAGATAAACTCATGCCATTTTCAGCAATGTGGATGGAGCTAGAAGGAATTATGCTCAGTGAAATAAGCCAGAAGGAAAAAGAAAAATATCAGATGGCTTCACTTATAGCAGGAATATAGGGGAACCAAATAAGACATCTACTGGTTATTTCTCACATCACTCTCTGCACAGGGACCTTGTGCCTGAGACATGTGATTCTTGTGTCTCCTGCTTTGTTATTGTATATTCTTCTTTAGGTTTATACCTGCAGGCACAACTTGAAGATGTCTCTTCTAAATGTGGACGTGAGTCTTTGTCACACCTTGATTTTCCCAACTATCTACTGAGCCCAGAGCCTGGAGAGGCTTCTCCATGTTTCCCTACCAGATACTTACCACACTGTGAGGGACCTCCCTACGCTCCATGGGTAGCAAGCAGTGAGCAAATCTGCGACCTTCCACTACCAGTTAACTGCGGGCAAGGGTAGTCACTCTGGTGTTGTTTTGTGTGATTAAAAAAGTGTTACAAAGATGAATTCTGGGAGGATATTTTTCTGGAAGCAATATTTACTATCTGGAGAATTTCAAAATCTAAGTCTGAAAGGAAGCTTCCAGATGAGAGGCTGCTGGTAGTAGCTGCAAAAGAAATGATAATTTTTAGTGCCTCCATGCTGGGGTCAAATTTTATTGGTGTGGGGTCTCTCACTGGCTTCTTCATCAGAAAGTTAGGAAATCTCACTGTGTTATCTCACTCCTGGGATCTGAAATTAAGTTAGGGCCTGCTTAGTGTAACTGAGCACAAGAAAGTGTTAAAATGACCATGTCTTTTTGGGAACTAGGAGCTAGTGTAGTTAAGCAGTTGTGTGTCCAGGGAAGAGCCATGTCTAAATATTCTGTTTTGTTTTGAAAATCGCAGGTCTTAATTTTGCAATGAGAGAATATTGTGAGCTGTGGGTCATGAATATGCTCTTGTAGAGAGGCCACATGAAACATTTTATTAAATGGATTTTTGTACGCCCTAGAGAATTTTAAAAACAAATGTTCTAATTTAGGGTAGTGTTGGAATATCTTGCTTTGCAGCAAGTTTCTCTTTCTTCTTTGCCAGAGTGAGGTGATTAGAAGCAAGAGGAGCATGACTTTGGCACTGGGCACCTGGGAATGGTGAGCAGGTGCTTCATTACACATGCCTCAGTTTCCTCATCTGTTAAGGGAACTTATTACGTGTTTTAAAAGCTAGTTGTGAAGAGCGGGCTGTACGGTGTGTGTGAGGTGCCTGTCCCAAAGTTGTCTGAAGCCACACAGTGAATGTGCTGCTGACTCACTGCCTGGCCTTCAGGCTGATTTCTGGGAGTTTCTTTAGTGCTGAGGTAGCTCTGGGTCTTCGACCCTTTGTAGGTGCTCAGTCCCTCCACTTGATTTATCACGGGGTCTTTGGACTGGCTTGAATTTTGCTTCTTACTTTGGGGCCCACTGCTGCCCCCACCTCTCTGAGCTGCCTTGTGCTTCATGTCAGTGTGTGACTCTCTCCCACTCTTTGTCTCTCCTTCTGTCTGTCTCATGGAGAAGTGTAGGGTAAGGTAAAAGTATCAGGCTTTTCTGCCCTCCCGCCATCAGGATAGATGACGGAACCCTGTGGTCCCGAATGCATGCCTGATGGCGGGCACCTGGAGTAGGGTGTGGGCATAGGTAGATGGGATTCACCTGGGCTAAGTAAGACTGTGCTATTAAGGGCGGTGTCTTCCGCCAGTAGAAGCGGAAGCTGAGAGAGAAGCAGAGAAGCAGAAGCAGAACTACGAGACATGTAAGTTTTGTTACAGTACGTTATAATTGTGCTATATTATCATTAGTATTGTTGTTAATATCTTACTGTGCCTAATTTATAAATTTAACTTATAAGTGTGTATATTTAGGAAACAACACAGTTTGTGGAGGTCAGAACTGTCCTCATTCCAGGCATGCACTGGGACTGTAATGATCCCCAGTGACTAAAGAGTAGGGTGCTATTGAATGCCCTCTGTTTTCATAAACTGCTTGTCTGGATTTCAACCTTCAAGGATAATGTTCTTGCAGATACAAGCCTCTTGCTGGTAATTCTCCTTGGTTACCAGCCCTCCTTCAATCTTCAGCTGGCTTCTTTAGCATCTCAGATACTCCCAAAGGTCTTTTACTGACTCCCCGCTCCTTTGGGAAACCTGACTACAACAAGCCAGGTCTGTGAAGGCAGGATCCCACTGCCTGGGGAAAGAAGTACATATTCTGTGTTAAGTGCTGAAACTTTGCTCCAGGAAGCTCTAAGTGTCCTTTGGTGTCACCAGGGAGAGGGTGTGTGCGTGTAGGAGGGGCTGTAGGTATATGAGTGACTGGGACTTTCTGATTCCCTGCTCCATTCCACAATGCTCTCATTATTTTTTTTTTTTTTGGATGTTGGGATTCTTCATAAGACTATTCAAAGAAAGGATTGAACTATTGAAGAAAAGGTTGAATACCATTGACCTAATTTTTTCCACTGAATTATTCAGAATGGCTTTTTATAGTGGGTTGGCCCTTCCAGATAGTGTTTGGGCAACAGGGTGACAGAGCAATCTGGCCAAGACATTGGCACTAGTTGTCCCCTCCATTGAAAGTCTTACCTCTGTGTTCAAGAAAGGCCTTTCTTGGTTGAGACTAGTGCTATTTTTGGTAATAAGTAAACAACACAGGGCTTTTGGTGGTGGTGGGGGGGAGGCACCACACATAAAATGACTCCAAAGGAGTTCCAAAAATATTTTAAGCCACAACAACACTGTTGAAATAAGTTTATGGTCTCTACACCTACTAAAAAATCTAAAATAAGCTCTTAAAGCTTTGTTGTAGGATGCATAATAGCAAAAAAACTTTCCAAGGGGTGGTTTTACTAACTTTGTGTGTGTTCATTAAAGCAAACTCTCAGCGATCTAAGATAATAAGTGTTTAACCAATAATTGTTCAACCACTAACCTATAAAAGTGCATCTAATATTATCAATCAGAATTTCTGTTTTGATTTGTAGATATTGAAAAGATCCATGTATTTAAATGAATTTAGAACATTCTGAAAGATACTCTAGAATAGAAGCTTCATGGGGCAAGCTTCCCCCCCTTTTCTGTTAATTAATGTATCCCAAGATGCTGCCTGTCATATAATAGATGTTCAATAGACATCTCAGGAATAAATGAATTCACAAGAAAATTGTAATGGGGCCTCCCAAGTGGCACAGGGAGTTGAGCACAGTGCTGTGAAGCTGTCTGCAGCCTCTGCAGTGCTGGTTCGATACCTGCTGGCCTTGGAGCAACCCACATGGTGCGGCAGACCTCTCCTGTCTAGCCTGCTGCTCCCCTCAGCAGTGTACTTCAGTCGATCTGCCTGTTCTGTTCCCCACTCTGGCTCTGGTGAATCCTCTCACCCCCTACACCTCTGACCTGTACCCCAGTTCTTGTATGCATAAATAAATACATCTTTAAAAAAAAAAAAAACGAAAGAAAATTGTAATGGTGGTTACCTCAAAGTATTAGAACTCCAGGTTGGTAGAACTATTATTTTCAACTTATACTTACATATGGTATTTGGAGGGGGCAGGCAAAAAGACATCATCTTCTCTCCTTGTACCTCTACCAGCCAACTTGAGGAGAAATGTTTATTCTGGTTAGTTGTTCTTGGAGTTTATAATCTCAGTAAGCAGGATTCTGCTCATGCATTTTCCATCCCCATTGCTTTATGGCTGGACTTTTATCTAAAAGTAATTCTGGTCATGGTTATGCTGTTAACTTCAGCAAACCTGTGCTTTGCTCATTGGGCTGGACAGAAGTAGACATTGACCTTTTTCACTGTAATCTGGACATTTTAGATTCAAGCGTGTCAGAGTAGGAAACCTTGAAGTGAACAGAGCTCTTGTGAGGGTTAATGGCTCTTGTCCCTGTACATATTGGTTCTAAAGAAGAGAGAAGGAGGGCAGTGTGATTGCATTCAATATTCCATAACTCATTCCAATACCATGATACTGTAGTGCTTTTATTTATTTAACTTATTATATGCATATATTATCTTTGAAAAGAGGGTATGGATCAGAACATCAAATGAGGAGTGAGCAGGGGATAGTGGTTTTCTGCCTACCTACAACCACAGAAAAATCATTTTTCATAAACTGTATTGGAGGCAATTTGTTCTTATAAATAGGAGGGATAATAATTGACTAGCAGAATGATTTGGCATTAAGAAGCTCTTTGAGAATAGAATCAATAGTCTCATAGAATTATTAAAGATTTTGGTTAAATTTAAAATACAAAGGAGCAGAATTATTACCAAAAAACTCTGGAATCTGAAACAGAGTTACAGACTCAGTGTGGATAGCGGTGCATAGTCAGTGCTATAGAATATCTGGGGAAGGACTGAAATGTTGGCACACATATTTGAGAAGAGGTGCACCACCAGGACTGAGTAACGATGAACACTTCTTATTCTGAAATGGTTTCTGCTTCCTGCCTATATGAAGTTGTGCTGTATTAGCAAGAAAAATGATAGCTGACATCCACTGAATACCTACTATGAATTAAGCCCTGAAATTCTTTACCTTCATGAATCCAATTAAGAGGGTATTATTAATACACAGTTAGGGAGCAGGGGTGGGATTCATGGGATGCTGAAGTTGGTTTATACAGTCTCCATAGAGATGGTTGTGGGCCTCTCTTCCCAACAGCATGCTCAATGATGTCACCTTGGCACTTTAATATGGATCTCTGTCAGAGAATTCTCCCCACAGAAATTGGCAAATGCTGCAAATTCTGTTTTTCTCTTGTTAATTCCCTCCTCCCACCCCAATCCTGAGTGCTGTTTGCTAAATATTTACTGATACAATACTGGATAAGATTCAAACCCTGGCAGTTTAACCCCAGAGCATTTTTGCAAAGGTGAATGTTTTCATGCCAAAGGACTGATGATAATTTTATATATTTACTTATGGCGTGAGCCTCTTTTATTAGGGTATTCTGTTACTTGTAGGTAAATGCACCCTAATTGATTCCTAGCACTTACTTAAAGGGTTGTTATGAGGAATAAATGAGATAATGTATTTAAATCAGAAACAGACCAGAGCTAACATAGTAAATGTTAGCAATTATTATTGCCATGGAAGAATGAACTGCAGAGATATGGCTCTCGTGGTACCACGGCCATCTGTTTCAACTGATTTCTCTACTTTCATAGGAACTAATAAGTGGCAGAACTGACCACATCTCCACTTTCTGCTCTCTTATAGTCTATGTCCTGGGGCAAAATGTGAAATGAGTTAAAAAGAGAAGTCATCCAAATAATCTAGTAATGTTAGTCTACCAACCAGTCATGCTACTTTCAAGTTCCATGAAAACAAGGTCTCAACAATTGCAAACATTTGTGTCCTCTAGGATGCCCTCCAACCGCATCTGCCCTGACTCTCCACTCTCTGTGGGGTTCCAGGGAGAGAGGCCATGGCCAAGGCTGGGTCCTGAGGAGCAGAGCATCTATCTATGTGACATGACACCATTTGGCTAAACTCAGACTCTCTGGGACATGTAGGACTGGCACTTGATTTCACTAAGGGCTTTGGGTAAAAAAAGAAAGATGATTCCTCATTGTCCAAAAGGCAACGCTCATTTCTGTGGGTAGCCAAAATGACAGCCACACGAAAACAGCCAGATCAGTAACAAAAACAACAACCTGTAAATACTCAATGCAAACTAGATGTTGGGCACGTTTCTAAGCATTCAACATCTGTTGTTTTATTCTATGATCCCAAAAGTCTTCTGATATACAACAACTGTCCCCATTTTTTGAGAAGCAGCAGCTAAGATTTAGAGATGTTAGAAAATTGGCTTGAGGTCATATAGGTGGCCAGTGGTGGGAGGAATTTGGAGCAGGGGACAATTTGACTCCATTGATTTTTCCCAGTGATGACATCACACTGCCCAGGATCCCCATTGAAGAAATGGGACCTACAAGGTATCCTGGTGCTCCCAGGTTAGAAGAGCATTTTCAGATCAGAATCTTCACTGAAGAATTCTCTTTGAACCGTGTTACCCATGACCTTCTCCAACCGCCAACCTATAACCTTGTTTTGGATAATAGATCCAGCCTTGAACACATTCAGCTCACGTGTCTGACTTCCACCACTATTTTATCCAACTCTAAAACTGATGATGCTACCATATATGGCTCTTACCTGCTCCTTGAGTCCTGACAGCCAGCATATATTATATACGCTACCTTATTTAGGGGTCAAAGACACCAGCTCTCCTTCACTGAGCTACACACTCTGCTTCTCCACAGACATATTACCAACACACCATGACTGAAGAATGAGAAAATTATGTGTCTAAAGAAAGAGGCTTAAAATATTTTATTAGAGAACATACAGCAGTATTGAACAACACTTAAATATTATGGCATCCAGATTTAGAAGGACAATATAAATGCTTATCATTTGAACAATCACTTTATTAGACAAATAAAACAAATTCATTTTTAATAGGGGTTGCATGATCCATCAAGTATATTTTTTCAATAATTTATCTGCTTAATAATATGTACATGTTTTCCTAAAAAAAAAACACCATGATTATTCACCATCACATCACATCATAAACAAATGGGACTGTAAAAATGGTGTAGAAAATCCAGAAATACTTAAACAGCACATTCCAAGAGAGTCCACTGAAAAGGAAATAATGCTTTAGAAGCCATTGCAGTTAGATTGAATGTCATACATATGCAACCAAGGAAAATGCTACAGCAAGTTCAAGTATAACAATTCACACACATAAGCATATTTATCTGCCTTAGGTGGGAATTCCCCTTCACATAGCATAGAGCACATACCAGATTCTCAGTATGATTTGGATTGTTTCTGTTTGTTTCTTTGTAATGTGGTGGGATGATGTAAAATCAATGCAACGGACCAAATACCCAAACCTGAAGAAGGTGGGTGTGGTTCACAAATACTGCAGAGTTAGAAACTGTACCTTACAGGTTGCATTTGCCACAACCATCTAAGGCTTCCAGGAAAAACGAACCCTCTGGAATGAGCCAATTCACTGGCATTTGCTTCTCTGGCAATGTGGAAATGCTGTGTTTGTATCTTGAGCAGATATAATGAGGAGACAAGCAGGGAATCTGCAGTAGCCAAGAAATGTCACGGGTTTTGTGTTTAAATGCTATCAGCTTTATTTGCTAAAATACAGTTTTAATTTCATAGACAAAAGGAATCTCCAAATTTGTTTTCTTTGGGCCCCAAACGCAAATCCTTCCTAATGGCAAGTGATGGTAAATGCAAATGCAAAAGTGCAGCTTGTGTTTCAGCTGCCTGCCCCCACCTCTGCTGCATTTGGTCTGTAATAAACTGCCAGGCCCTCCTTGATAAGAATGTGCCCTGATACAGCACGAGACACCCAGCCCTCGGTGATGGATAATGTGAAGCCAGCCTCGGGGGCACTGATCCAATTATTTCTTGCATTTATATTGTTGGAAAAATGCTTTCTCTTAAAACTTACTGTGCATTTTCTTACTAAAGATAATTCCTCAATTTTACAAAGCATTCAATTGCTTCAGATAGGATTTGCTTGTTAAGACTTCCTCCAAAGCATTCACTTATTCTTATGGATTAGCTGCTTCATGTTTGAGCAAATGTTTATTTGCACAATGGGAAAAAAAATTGGCATTTCTTCCCTGTTTAGCCATCCTGCTCGAAAGCAGTGCTAAGCCCTGAGCACAAAGAGAAGCAGGCAACTGAAACCAAGGCCTGTCAGTCTTCAGCCAAGCCAAACACAGCAGTGCTGTCAGGGAAGCCCCCGATTGATCATTTGCTGAATGCCTTGGTTCTTCCATGTTTTAAAAAAAGTGGAAAAAAAACAAAAGCAGGGGACTTGAGGGTGGGGATTTGCAGAGCCACACGGTCACCATGACAAGCAAGACCGACTTCCATGCACCCTGGCAGGCATTGACTCACCCAGTGCACACCCGGGCTCACAACCTCTGGGCCTTTGCACAGACTCATTCAGTCTTGCTTGGAACAACTCCCTCTGTCCTCCATGTCATTTGTCCTTCAGGATCCAACTTAGAAGTCACCAGTTTCAGGAAGCTTAACTCTGAGGCTGACTCGGGTACTTTCCAACAGAGTCCCAGGGACTGCAGGGAAACTTGTGCCAAGGTGCTTACCGAGCTCTACTACTGCACTTACTAGCCTGGACTCTGCACAGACCTTAGGTGCCTGGAGGGAAAGACCCTGAGTCCTTGAGGGTTTTTCTCCAACCTCTGAATCTGTGCCCGGAGGCTTGCTCAATGTTAGGGAATGGATGCAGGAGTGAAAGCTGTTGTTTTGCAGGGCAGCTTCCCTTGGAAGAAGGTGCTTTTGTTCAGTGTGGCTCTTCTGCTTCTATGGATGTGAGGGACATGAGGTGGGTTCAGAAGACAGTGGGTAGCTGCACGCCCCTTCATTGGCTGGTAAGGACAGCATTCGTGGGTATGAAGCTGGCTCCATGTCGTTGGTCTGTGTCCTCTTAAGAAATCAGGCAGATTGACCTGTATGAATTACGTTATGCTTTCCATATACATGTCTCAACATGATCAAAATTTTATCTTTCGGTAAACTAAGAATTCTTACTCCAAATATAGTGCATCGATTTGAACAAGTTCAGACTTTGATGGCGCTGGTTCTTTGTAAGCTGAGGCCAGTGCTTACTTCCCTTCATCCACTCATGTCACATTCTACTTCCTACCCGGTGATGTTCTCCACTTTCCTTCTCCCAGCACTGAAAGAATGGAAGCTCTTCTTTTGGGGACAACACCAACTCTTCGCTCTTGCCACAACTCAGCAATCGCTTCTCAAAAACCAGAAGCCCGAAATAGCCAGAGCCTGTGTTTACACAAAGCAGAGCTGGGCCAAGAACCTCATCCCTGAAAGTGACTTTTCCCTCCATTTAAAACAAGTATGAGACTCCGAGTCACGAGAGACTGTTTGGCAGGACGAGGATGGCAGGTCCCTGCCAAGCACTGCCTTGGAGTAGGGATGCCTGCCCTGGGCAGATGGAATTGTGGGGAGCTGTGCCTGCAGTGCAGTGCTCCTGTCAAGCCCGGGGGGTCCTGGGATCACTTAAAGAGGGGTCACAGAAACACAAGCTTTCTAGGTGTGTAGATTCTCCACACATAATTTTTACTATTTAATCGTTATCTCTGCCTATTTTATCACTAATGCATTTTACGGGGCAAACTCACTTTGTTGTCCGTAGTGCTGGGTTGAATACATGTGGTGGCACTGAAGGTGGGCTGCTTAGGACTTGCCATAGCCAGAGCCAAACTTAGCTGCTTTGCACCCCTAACGTCTGATGAGGTAAGCATGTGTTTTCATTCAGGCTTTAAAAGCTGAAGCAAAATTTCTGCTGTAGAATGTCAGTGCTCACTTGCTGAGGTTCAGGTGTCAGGGTTGTTTGATGTTTGGAATAGGAAGGCAGCGTCAGATGAGATGGTGAAAGTAGAGACAGAAGCAGCTAAGGAGCCCCATTTTTAAATTTCCTGATTCCCTAACACATGTTTGTTTCAATTAAGTATATGGGAAACAAGAAATAAATTATAATTTAAATATCTATAACTCTCTTAAAAATACTTCATAGGTATACTTTTTAAAAGTCTCCCTCTTGTCAGAATTTGGGCTCCTTATTTTAGGTTAAAGCTGCTCATCGGCCCACCCATCCATCCCGGCCCACCTCTCGCCTGCTCTTTACAACCTCTGTCACCTCTGGCTGAGGAGGGTCGGCCTGGGGACCGAGAGATATTCATCTTGATGCTTTGCTTTTGATTAATGGACCAAAGACCTGCCAAGCCTTGAGACTTCAATTAATCAAGCAGCAAGGCTGAAATCTCATTATGGAAGATAATATTGGGCTTAGCAAAAGAAATGAAGACCAGAGGGAGGAAGACAAGTTTTTATAGTGGATAGATCAAAAAGTCATTCTATACCCATTCACCCCTATTTTTGGATGGTTTGGGCTTAAATAATGTACTGAGTGCTTTTGGAGTCCCTGCCTTTTTATGGGATTTTTTTCTTTTCCTCCTCTAATCTCTACATTGGACCGAAGCTGGCAAACCACATTACTCTAGACAGCAAGGGCATTCCATCATGACTGATACAGTAGAACCAGAAACACTTCCAATCCCCAGGGAGGGGTAGGGGAATGGCAAACCAAAGCAGCAGTCGTCCCTTGCCCAGAAAGCACAATAGCAGATGCTACATAATTAGAGCAGTCCTGATTCTTCCAAATGAGGATAAATGTTCTTCACTTCTCAGCAGGGACCAGGCAAAAGGGAAGATATAACTGGGTGTCAGGAAAGCATCACATGGATAATAAATTTGTCTATACTGAGGAGCTCAGATGGGTTGATGAAATAGAAGTGGGATTGACCTTCTCAAGAGAAGCCCGGTGACCAGGTCAGGATTTTCTAGGGCCATGCAGGATGGGCAGGAGGGCCATGCAGGATGGGCAGGCAACCCATGCAAAATGGGCAGGAGCCCAGTGACTCAGGCAGTACCATTCTAGTCCCGAGGGTAGAGGACAAGTGGTCTGTGGAATGCCCACATGGAAATGCCTTTTGGCAGAGAATATTTGTCTATGTCCTCATACCCAATCAAGTCAGCGTAGCTTCTTTTTTTTACTTTTCTTAGGCTGGGAGATGGAGTACAGGAACAGCTACCTGAGGACGCTCTGCACCTGTTTGCTAAGCTAATCTTGATGTAGGACAGGTGTGACTAGAACAGCCATAACTCACCCATTGCTGAATTTGGGGCTCATACTGATCAGAGCTTCTCATGTGGTCCTTAGTCCTGAGGATTGGGTCCTGCTGTTGGATGTCTGTTTCACCTTGCTCTCAGGGTCTTGGGTCTGGTGCATTCAGTGATGGTGCTCTGCTTTCCTTGGTGTAGATAGCACCAGGGGATCTCATGCCAACTTGACATTACTGTGCTGTGCACCCCTGATTAGAATCTTACTGTAACTTCCCAGAAGCCTATTGTTGTCTACTATAACTCGAGCCTTCTTGATGGATCATCTGTTATTTCCAAGTCCTATGAGCCTGGTCTCTAAGCCCTGCCTGTAACTAGTATTTGGACCTTGTTCCTTTTTGTTCCCCCTCAGTTAACCTGCTCAGGTGTGGTCCCATTCCTCAAATATAGCCTCAGTATTCAGGGGCTGAATACTGCTAAGGGCATATGAAATAACATGATAGTTCATACCTTTCGGGAGTTTCAATCTAGTTAAGAAGACAGAAGCTATATAGATTTAGAGTAAAGTATATGTAGAGTGAGAAAAATAGGTAAAGATTTTAAAAAGCAAGAGAATGATCACAATAAAAATGGTAACAAGTTGCTCCCAAAAATATTTTATAGACAATTGCTGTAGGAATTTGGACAGAAAGAATGATCAGGAAGGACTGAATTTGAACTTCTAATCTGGGAAAAAAAATTGTGGATAGATTTTTATAGGTAGAAATGAGAAAAGAGGTGTAATATGGGCTGATTTTTGTGCCCCCCAATTTCATAAGTGGAAATCCTAACTTCTAGTATATTAGAACATGACTTATTTGGAGATAAAGCTTTTACAGAGGTGATGAAGGTTAAATGAAGGGATTGGGTTGGGCCCAACCAGACTGTCCTTACAATAGGAGGATGTGGGGGCCCAGACACAGAGGGAAGGTGATGGGCAGACACAGGGACATGCTGGCCATCTGCAAACCAAGAAGAGAAGCCACAGGAGAAATGAACCGCTGACATCTTGACCTTGGACTTCCAGTCTCCAGAACTGTGAGAGGATAAATTTCTGTTCTTGAACCCCACCCCCACTCCACCGGGTCTCTGAGACTTTGTTACAATGGCACTGGGAAATGAAGACAGAAGGATTCTAAATGCATGGACCTAGGTCAGCAAGAGCAGGAGCAGGATGGGTAGGAGAGGGGCCACTCCCTTTGGAGTAGCAAGGCCTTAGTGCAAGAATGTGACAAGCAATTTAATGAACAGCCCCAAGAAGAGATGAGCTGGTGGAGACAGGGCTGCACAGCAGAAGCACCTGAAAACAAGGACCATCTTTCATCCAGGTGAGCTTAGCTTAGGGTATATCTTCTGAAGGATGAATCATTGCTTAATGCTAACATGAAACCCAAGTTAACTTACAGAATTAAGGCCTTGAGGTCTAAGACATAGTAAGAGGGATGGGAAGGAAATAAAGCAAGAGACAAAGATGAAAAAGAGAAAGAGAACGTGACTTTGAAGAGCTAGTCAAAGACTTCACCTGTCAAAGAGGGTGAAGGAAGAGCTGTACCTCCTGGGGGAGGAATAGGAAGCCACTCCTGACTACCAGCTGTGTCCTAGATGTGGCCGTGATGGTGCTGTGCCCTTCATATGCAACAAATAGAATAACAGAAGACAACAATATGAGCAGAGAGTCAAAGTCCTGGGGAACAGGGCCTTGAGCCTGTCTTTACCCCAGGGCCCACGTCTTGCCCTGGGTTCACAGGAGGCTCCAGGTCTGATGTGGCGAGGGTTTGGAGGAGTTAAGGGGAGCTCTCCTCTCACAGAGCTACGCACAGGAGCATTGTATCCCACGGGGCCTGGTGGCATCTGGAACAAGAGCCCCATATGTTTCTTCACTGGTTGCTGAGCAGGCCCCACCCTGAATGTGAACTTGTTCCTTCGCCTGATGCCTCATGCAGTTGGGAGAGTTAATGTAATCAAGAGGAGATGGGTCAATGGCATATTAAAAGAAAGGTGCTTGTATTCACTGCTCAGAGCATTTGCTTTATACCCTAAGCTACTATGTGTCCAGATCACAGACAGCAAATTATGGACATGGGCTAAATTCGATCCATGGCCTTTTCGTTTCTTGGTGCAGCTTGTGAACTAAGATTGGTTTCCACATTTTTAAAGGACTGTGGGAAAAAATGAAATGTAAAGAAGATGTGACAGAGGACCTCTGTGGTGGTGCGAGGGGTTATGATGCAACCTATGGAGCTGTCCGTAGCCTCTGTAGGACGAGTTGGATCCCTGGCAGGGGAGCTACCCACATGGTGCAGCAGACCTCTCCTGACTCGCCCGCTGCTCCCCTCAACAGTGTATTTCAGTCAGTCTGCCTGTTCTGTTCCCCACTCTGTTTCTGGTGAATCGTCTTACACCCATACCTCTGGCTTGTACCCCATAAATAAATAAATCTTTGAAAAAAGAATATGTGACAGAGATCCTATGGCCCACAATGCCTAAAATATTTACTATCTATCCATTTATAGAAGAACTTTGCCAGTCTCTGCTGTGTATTACATAGATTTTTATTTTTATTTTTGTTTACCTGGGAACATTGTTCCCTCCCCCATTTATAACAATGCTCTTGGAAAAATGTGTTCTTGACTTGCAACAGATGAGCGTGGCATGGACCCAGCACTTGAACCAGGTACTCTCTGTGTCTCTTTGCAATTTTTTGTGCCAACGGCAGCACCTGGTGCAAGAGAAGTGAACAGTTTGCTGCTGATGATGATCAGGTTGGATACAACACTCAAGCTCACAGGAAAAGGAGCGTTCCCAAAACTCCCACTGGGACCTTTGCATTCCCCAAATCCTTAAGGTATCAATCACTGCTTGCTTTGCCTTACATGTCACCCTGCTGAGCAAGCCAAGAGCCCTCTGTCCTGCTTATTTCCTTAGTTCGGCTCCTGCCTATCTAGGGAGAAAGAGCAGAATTACATTTGCTTATCTCTTAGCCAATGAGAGAAACATAGACAAATATGCACTCAGCCCCTAGAAAAATCTTGTATTGCAGAAATATAGCAGGAGAGAAGGTGCAAACAGAACTGGAAGCAGATGGGAGATGAATGAGGGTAAGAGGAAATTCGGGGTCTCAAGAAACACAGTCGATCTTGGGGACACTTAGGGAATTGTGGAAAAAAGTCTTTCCTCGTGTCTCTTTGTTTTTTCATGTGCAAAAGTATAGGTGATAGTCCCTTCTCTTTTTGCTTTGAGGGATGATTTGAAATAGGCCAAATAACACTGACAACTATTACGTAGTATATCAATGGAAGGAATACTAAACTCAGGTTGGGGTTTCTGTTTTAGCTCCCATGTATTTGAATGCACCTATTGTATTCAGACTTTTAAGTAATAGGTCAGCACCTTTATTGTTTTTTTCTCCAAAGACAGCATAAATTTGCCCTAAGATTTTTTTCTAAAGTCTGTATTTCCCATATTTTAGCAATAATCATTTCCAGTTTATAATGTGGCTATGTCAACTATGAAGTGGAAGGGAACTAATGGATGACTCCTGAGAGTCGCATGAAAAGGAAAGACAAATATTTCGTCCTTGGAAATGAGCAAGCAGTCAGCTTTAGCACGGTTCCTTGTTTATCAGTTGCAGCAAAATATTACTAAACCATTGATCTTGTTTTGAGCAAAGTCTATGATAAGTCTCCCTCCTTTTTCTTAACATCACCCCTCTGGAGATAGCCTTTCTTTTGGTGAGAACTCAGTAATTAATCCATGTTGTAATAGCAAAGAAGAAACACTTTCTTGCACAGCACAGCACAGCACAGCACAGCTAAGATCCATCCTCAGCCCCCATGACATTTGGGCCTGGGGAAGCCAGAACCACCTGGCGCTCGTGGCACCATGAGCAAGGAATCAGGTGTCCTCTGCTGAGACCCAACTTGCTTTTTGCCAGACCAGCCCTATGATGTCATCTCCACTCACTCATCTTGCAGGGATTTTGGAGGCTGGGAGGCCACCGCTGTCATTGCTTTTAGTGGATGGTAGGGGACACAGCAGTTTGTAGACAAGGCATCCCCCCAAGTTTTCCAACTTGGCTTGTGCAGGTGGTTTCATGGTCAAAAATCCTAGTAGTGTAAAAAGAAATCAGAGTAACAAGTGAGCATCACAGGAACTTCCGAGGCTACTGTATTCGCCACCTCTGCCTTCTTTTTAGCTGCCCTGGTTTTTGTTGTAGAGTTTACCTTGGGCTCCCTTCTCCCTTTGCTAATGAGGAGAACTTTAAGTTCACAAGTGCTCACATGCAAGCATAGGCAGCTTCCCTGTTGGTAAAAGCACCTGAGTAGAAGCAGTCCAGGAAGCAAGTAAGAATGCTTGTCATGCTGTGATTAAGTAGCTGTGATTACAGAGTGAGCGATTACCAGCCCAAGCATATGGTTCCTAAAATGTTCTCACTCCCAGACCATAACTACGAAACCCACTGGGCCAGAGGTCATGTGATTGTTCATTTGAAGGAGGAAGGAGAAGACGCACAGATGCTTGGACATAGAGCTTTCATTGGCAAAAAGGAAATCCAGGAACAAATAGATGCCATCTAATAAGTAGCCACAGCTGCCTGTCAATTCTTCATTTTCAGATTGTCTAGGTCTCCGGCTACTTGAAGGTCAGCATTCTGGACTGTTTCTCCATGGTGACAGGCTTGAGGATCATACACTTAGCATATGTAATTCCTGGTGAAAGACCTATGATTCTTTCTCCAACTCAAAAAAAAAGGAATATAGGTGATAGTGCTGTTGCTTTGTTTTTATTTATCTTAAATAGGGTTGTCCTTCCTGGAGGTGTGTTGGTTAACTGGCTGGCAGCCAATACCTTCAACACACTGCACGTGTCTCTTATCTGCAACTGTGTTTGCCTGTTGCATGTCAATGTAGTCTCTTCTGCATTCTTTTATATGTCCATCTTCTCCCAATTTGATATAATTTGTCCTTCTTGCAAGGCCTGAATAATGAAAGATGGTTGTCACCAAACTCTTCTAATTATGACTTGCTCTTGGGTTTGGCTGGGAGGGAGATTTGACAGCATATTACTATTTACTGGGATTAGTTGGAAGACAAATTCCAAGGAAATAAACAGAAGCTTGGGTATTGTTTTGTATCCTCAGCATTCTCAATTTCAAGCAGGAGATTTTTACCCCAGTATTTTGAAGAGGGGGTGCTCTGGAAAGCATGCAGACTTTAGAGCTATGAATGCCCAGGTTTGAATCCTGGTTCCTCCTTGGCTCTCAGTGAGTCCTTAATCACTCAGCTACAGATATTTATCTCTAAAAATAGGAGCGGTGGGATTGCTCTGCCCTTTTAGTCAGGGGTGCAGAATGCACACAGCAGGACTGAAGAGAAAAGCCTTAAGAAAATACACGTTTTCCTAAATATCACACTCTCTCATGGATGAACCAACCTAAGTGGTGAGTTAGAAGCCTTAATACTGTGGAGAGTGTTAGCAACAATAAGTGAGGACAGGCAGAAGCCGTGATATGGATGAGAAATAAGTGAGGCTGAGGAAGAAAACTGACAAGTCGAATGCGCCTCTGAAATCTCTGCAATCATTAGGGCATATTTTTGAACAAAGAGTCAAGGTCTCAGTGCTTATAATTTGAATTTGAATCGCAAAATAAGCCCAAATTTTCCTTATTCCATAATGTCAAGTAGATTTTTTTTTTGGTGATGTTTAAACAATCCCAAAGCAACTGCTTTTTACAACACATTATACATGATTTTTAACCACTGTTACTCTGAGTAAATTCTCCAAAATTTCAAATAGAAACAGTAAATGTGATTATAAATATAATAATCATTTTTTTTAATTGTGGCCATTTTAGATAGTTTTTTGAACTCACAAAAGTACAGAGATTTTTGTGGATGAATAAAAAACCACATTTATTCCAATTTAAATCTTGGGCAATATTATCAATTTCTTATAAATTGATGTTAGACCTAATATTACATTATAGGAAAGGAAAGCCATGTTAAAGTGCTGAAGATACTATTTATGCATAGTTTTACATGAATTGTCATGATTGCTATCTGAGGATCAAAAGATTTTCTAGTTGTTTATTTTGATTAGATGTGGCATGAATGCTAACTTTCTGGTGATCTTAAATATCCTAATATATAAGTTTTAAATCAGCCTGTAAAGATGTTTAAAGATCATCTCTAATATGGAACCATGTTTTGCTGGAGAAAGACTTTTCTTCTCATGGAAGTGCTCTTTCTGCAAGGGGGGTGGGGTCAGGCAGAGTGGATTTTAAATTCAGATTCTGAAATATTCTCAATTAAATTAAGATGCTCAGAATGAAATTTTCTTATCAAGAAAGCAGAGGAGAGAGGTTTGCATGTTTAAGTATTCTTTAGATGCCCACCTCCACATTCAGACACCACTTTGAGACATTGGGGAGAGCCATATGGGACATGCAACCTGAGGAGTCTAAAATTCCAGCCAACATGTAAGTGCCAGAATAAAAATTATGAACACAAGGCAGCTTATCTAGCTGGCCAACAGAAGGTAGAGTATTTGCCAGAAGGGCTGAGAAAGCAGTAGTATTCTATCTCCAAACATACACCAACAAAACTCAAATATACATGCAAACATGCCTTCCCTGGCAAGGCACAACAGATACTAGCATTTAAGAAGGACTTAGGGAAATTATCATTTTGTTGCAAAGGAAGAAGGAAAAGACGTTGGGGCTACTACTTTTGTCATAAAAGTTAAATAATGCTACCTAAAATCTGCTTTAAAATTTTTACAGAAATATCCCAAGTTGGGCAGAGTTCAAAAAAATGGTCCATAGTTTTTGAACAGTAATTCTAGTTAAGAATTATTCTAAAACATAAATTCTATTTAAAGTTCTTAACATGGAATGTGAAAATGCTTTAAGTTTTCCATAGTTACCATATTAATTTTTAGTAATATACTGAGCTAATAATTTCCCCCAAATTTGGTATACATAATAAAATTAACAAGTTCTTCAAGTTCTGGCAGAAAATCAAAATAGATAAATTACTGGATTACTGGATCTTTTACTGGAATAAATGGGCTTCTGTCAGAACTGTTTACAAACTTCTATTTTAGATGGTTCTTTGGTGATCAGTGAGTATCCTCCCAAACTAAGCATTTGTGTCTTTGAAAGTTCAGGAAGACAGATCACAAGGCCGATTCCAACACACTGCATGTGTATTGGGGACCTTGACAAACATTCTGTATGCAATAGTGAAGCAGAGGAGAAAACAATGTAGATGAAGATAATACCTTTCAAAATATTATAAGTTCTGAATTTCAGAATGGATTTCTGGCACAGGTCTTATTAGACCACATCAAAGAAGATGTGAAATATTTTCTATCTTAGTGCCTAGTCTACCCTAAACTCTTGATATTTAAATATGTTACATAAGAAACCTTTCTCCATCTGATCATGGAACTGCTTAATGGAATTTTGTCCCTGGTAGTTAAGTTGAAAAAAATGACCCTCATCTCTACTGTCTTCCATTAGGAAAAGCCATCCTTTCCCCAACGGGTTCTGTCAAAACATTCTAGACCCAGGCTTAGAGAAAGTGCCTCCATTACGCTGGAAACATAATGGATGCCCCTCAGTTACCCTTACAGAACAGAAGCTCTGTCTGGACAAATTGCAGCCACAAGTAAGTCTCACTGTCAGGTTTTACCCAAGCTAAGAAAGTGGATATATCAGAAATGGTGCTTGCTCTAAATGCTTAAAGCTTGCTCTAAAAATAATATGCTTGGATACTGGCCACCATCTTGAGGCTCTTCCTCTCCCGGCCCTTTCCCCATAAATATCCAATGTGGCTGTCAGTAAGTTTAGCCTGAAAATAAAATCCCCTCACTCCATCAAGAAATAGCTCCAAACTTAGAGTGTGTGCTCAAAATATTCATGATGAAATCATATTCCTATATTTATAGTCTTTTGGATGGTGTGTGATACTATTTCCCATGGTATTTTTCATTGAAAGGCCCAGACCTGGAAAGTGGGCTCAGAGGATGACCGAGAGAGCATGAGTCTCAAGGAAATGCTGTTCACTGTTATTTTGAATTGGACAGTGTGTGATACACTCCCTTGTCCCTGAGCCCTACCCGCCCCCACCACCTCCCACCCATCAGTTGGGTCTCCTGCCCGACCCCATTCCCAGAGGGTCCTCTTGTTTAATGGTTTTCTCTCATCACGTAGGAAGGGAAAAGTGGCCTGTGTAGGAAGCAGAGTGAGTGCCTGGGATCATGACCTCTCCCTTCTGACCTTTCCTGTCCTCTAGACTTCCTCCCCATTTTCACTGAGGGAGATGGTATGGATTTTAATGGTTGGAACTTGATGGTTCTCTTCCAGGCGGGGGGTCGAGGGCCCCATGCAGCAGCACACCTGCAAAAAGCTTTTACTTCTCACCCGGGCGGTGCTGCAGGCTGACTGGTCTTTGGGCACTGTAATCCTGGCGGATCCGCGAGGCAGAGAAGAGAAAAACTTCCATTCACAGACGCCTTCGGTCTTGGAGATCTTATAGAAGGTCTCGCCTGACCCCACCGGGATGCGCACCAAGTCCTTGTGCTGAGCCTCCAGGGCGTGGCTGGGCGGGTGCAGGGTGTAGCCCAGGGTGTGCTTGGAAGACTGCTTCCTGCGGAGACACTGGATTCGCAGGACATTCTGGAAGGCCTTTTTAAACTCTTGACTGGAGCATGGGTAGATGATGGGGTTGATGCAGCTGTTCAGGTATCCAAGCCAAAATGCTATTTTAAAAACTGTTTCTGAGGGTTTGGATTCAGGGAAGAAAGAGCCTGAAAGAAAACACACAGATTCATATACGTTATTTATAATCCAACAGGTAAATTAGTTCAGAAACCAAAGCAACAGACCACTAAGTATGTTTTTATGTCTTTAAAAATTTCTAATGATTCTAAGTAAACATGAGTTTCTCACATTGGACTGACAAGCTCCTGAGACTGTAAACTCCTGTAATATTCTCAAAGGCCATACTCACCTGGCCCACAGGTACATCAATTATGGAAGCAGATCCATTGGGTAGATTTGCACCAGTTCTGAATGATAACATATCACTTGATGTCTGTGATGAAGCTTTAACTAATGAAGACATGAAATTGAAGCTGAGTCTACATATGTACATTGTTATGCCTGAACTTACAATAAATTGGAATCCATTCAAATAATCCACATTAAAATTGGGGCACCTCAATATTCCCTTTTTCTTTGATGTAGTATTAGATAAGACACATACTGAAGCCTGGATTTTTTTTCTCAAGTACACTGGTAATTATTACAGGCAATGTGATTACAGAAGTTTAAAACATTCACATATTAAGACACAGAAAGAATTTAAAGTGCAGAACCACCACCAAAAAATGCACTGTTGGTTTTTTTCATTCATTGTCTATTATCCTGTATTTCTGGAATTGTATGGGGAATATAACCAAAATGAAAATGCAGGCCTCCCCTAGTGGCGCAGGCGGTTGAGCACTGCTCTGTGAAGCTGTGCGTAGCCTCTGCAGCGTGGGTTCAATCCCAGCCAGCAGGGAGAAACCCACATGGCGCGGCAGACCTCTCCTGTCTCGCCTGCCGGTTCCCTCAGCGGTGTATTTCAGTCAGTCTGCCTGTTCCGCTCCCTGTTCTGTCTCTGGTGGATCCTCTCACTCTCCCGCACATCTGGCCTGTACCCCAGTTCTTGTATACATGAATAAATAAATCTTTAAAAAAAAAAAAGAAAATGCATACATAGTGCAAAAATGAAAAATTATTTAAGAATTATGTAAAATAAATGAATCCTGGATTTTTATGCGAATTCCCTGCATGTTTACAAAATATTGGCTGTGCCAGCTTTTGGTCAGTGATTTTCAATTACTTTGAGGATGACTTTTGATATTACAGTATACTCTCCTACTTAAGGTATTTCAGTGGCTGCCAGATGTTGTTAAATTCTTGTCAGTTGCTTGATGTTCAAGGTCCTCCACTCTACTCAGCCTAATCTAGCTTTCTACCATTAATACTTATACTCTAGTCAGACTCATTACAAACTTCTCTCTGAGTCATTACTCATATGTATATATATATATATATATATATATATATATATATATATGTATATATTTTGTCCTAAAATGAGTGATTATATCTAAAATGCCCTTTCTCATGTCCTTTACCTACTTGTATCTTATTTGCTAATTTACAAGCTGGGAATCCCTTTTTAGAGATCTTAACCTCTTCTACTGTAATTATCACTTTGGCAACAAAATAGCAAAATCACAGAAAATTAAAGCAGAAACAAACAGGGATTATCTTATTTGATAAGTCAAGTTTCCAAATTAAATGATGGTTACAGAGAGGTCACCACAAAACAGTGACATTCCAATAGGGTACCAATATGATGATGGAAAAGGTGTCTAGGACTCACAGTTCTTTATTCTCTGCTCTGCAGAGTTCCAGTAGTTCTCAGTATAAAAGCTTAGAAATTACAAAATCCCAACCTTCTCTCTTCATTCCTTACAGATAGGTTGTAAAACAGCATCTGGACTTTCCTTCCACCTTCCTGCTTATCTTTCTTCCCCCAGTTTTCAGTCATAGCTTCTGAACAACATGGTAGTCCTCTCTTACTGTGGTTTTGCTTTCTGCAATTTCAGTTACCCGTGGTCAACCGAAGTCCAAAAATATTGTGTACAATAAAATATTTTGAGAGAAAGCACATTCACTTAACAGTTGTTATAGTACATTATTGTAATTCATCTATTTTATTGTTAGCTGTACTGTTAATGTGCCTAATTTATAAATAAAACTTTATCACAGGTATGCATGTATAGATAGGAAAAAAACAGTATACACAGGGTTTGACACGATCTGTGGTTTCAGGCATCCACTGAGGTTCTTGGAAGTTCTCTTCCTTGAATAAGGGGAATGACTAGACTTCCTGAGGGCTTTGGAGCAGCCCTGGCATCCCTTTTTGGTCTCAGGTTATGGATAATTTCTTTTTTTCTTTTTTGTTTTATATATTTTTTAATTTATTTAATTATTTTAAAAAGATTTATTTATTTTTAATTTTCAATATTTTATTTTATATAATTCTTACATTTTTTTCATCTTTGCACTTTGTATGCATTTTCATTTTGGTTATATTCCCCATACAATTGCCCCCCCCCCCAATTTTGACCCTAGTCTTTCCTTTCCCTGCCCCTCCCTCTCCCACCCCGTAGTGTGTCTCTGGTTTATAGTTGCTTGTTGATTTTGATTTTTACTTAGTATTTATTAGCCTTTTTCCTGGTCTCTTATTTACGTTTTCTAAATTCCTGCTATGAGTGAGACCATCCGGTATTTTTCTTTTCTTTCTGACTTATTTCGCTGAGCATGAGCCCTTCTAGCTCCATCCATGTTGCTGCAAGCTGCATGTGTTTATCTTTTTTGATTGCTGAGATAATTTCTTTTTTAAAAAGGTTTATTTTATACACACAAGAGCTGGGGTGTAGGCCAGATGTGTGGGGGGTGGGGAGAAGGGGGTGAGAGGATTCACCAGAGACAGAGTGGGGAACAGAACAGGTATATCCACTGAAATATATTGCTGAGGGGAGCAGGGGTGAGTCAGGATGGTCTGCTGTGCCATGTGGGTCAGCTCCCTGGCTCAGAATCAAACTGGTGCTGCAGGGGCTGCAGACAGCTTCACAGTGCAGTGACTTAACCCCTTGTGCCACCAGGGAGGCCCTGATGGGTAATTTCTAATGTAACTTTTTTCTTTTACTTCAGTATAATTTCTTGATTAAGTCTTTCTTTTTCTGTTTTATAATCCCATCAGAATCATGATAAACTGCTGGTGTGTTTAAAATCCAATCTAGCAAACAATGCCCTAAAATTTAGGAGCAAACCTCATAGTAATTATTATTTTTGATTTATTGCTATTGAAGAATCGTTATTTTACATTCTTGCTAGTGTTTTGACAGCATAGGATTTTCCGCCCCCTCAGGTATAGTCACTATAGCTTTCCCACTGCTGGAAACACAGAGTTCACATAGTTTACTGTTCTCCCCTAACCCCCTTCTCTTATCCCTCTCACTCCCCCCACCCTTTTGAAAACCAAAGATCTATGGTCAGTTTCCAAAGGTTGTTTTTAAAATCTGTTGACCCTTTGTTTGGTTATTCTATATTCCACATGTAAGTGACACCATCCGGTATTTATCTTTTTCCTTCTGGCTTATTTCACTTAGTATAAGCCCTTCTAGATCCTTCCAAGTTGCTGCAGGACTTCATAAATATAAACAAAAAATAAAACTAAATATTGCAAAACCAAAGAAGACTAGATGGCATGGTGGGTGGGTGAGCACTTATGTCTAAGTTCAATATATTGAAGAAATTCACACACACACACACACAATGGTTGCTAAGTAAGAAAGTATTATTCTTGACCCTCAAGGCTTAAAACGTTGTCCTGTAATTAGAATAAAATTAATTCCTATTGAGTGCTTGGTTTGAACCAGGGTCTGTGCTATACACACTACATATAAATTAATCACTGTTAAATGTAACTTGAAGTGTTAATATCTCCACTCAATAGCCTGTTTTACAAATGAAAAGACTGGTTTATTGAGGTTAATAGTTACTCATAGAGCTGGGGTTTGAAATTGGGCAGCCTTATTTTAGGGGCTATGTTCCTTTTTGGAATCTGAAAATAAGATTACAGATTTCTTGGGGAGGAGGCTGGGGCATGGGGAGTGATAGTGCACAGCTGGGGGAAGCTAATTTGGAAAGATGTCTTTCCAAACTTTGCAGAGAAGATGACCAATGCCAATATGACTGTGGTTTTGTGTGAGTCAGTTCCAGAAAAAAAAATCATCTTAGATTATGATGCCTATATATTGTTCAATGTTTCCTTCGAACAGTGACAGTGACATGATGAGGGGAACCAGCTTCATTAAGGCAGGCGATGGCCTGGACTTAATGAGGGTATATGATTAGGGCACACCAAAAACTACCTTGTCTGGGGATTTCACTAGTTGTAAATCAGCTAGAGAGGTGGTAGTTGCATCTTTGAAGAATTTCAATTAAAAAAAAAAGACAACAAAATAGTGGTTATCAGAGGGCAAGTGGGATGGGGTGGGTAAAGTGAGCAAAAGGGGTCAACTGTATGTTGGGGGAACTAGATTTTTGGTGGTGTCACAATTCAATATACATGGATGCTGACGTATAAAGCCACACCCCTGAAACTTACACAATGTTATAAACCAATATTACCACAACAGTAAGTAAAAGACAATGATTTTTGAATTTTTGTAAGGCAAACATTATGGTGATAATAAATTTTTAATGAAAAAAAAATGTATGATTTGGGAGCCTTGGAATTTCCCATGATTCCTTCAAGGACACTCTGCTAACAAAGTCCAGTTTTGCATTAAAAAAAAAAATAGTCCCTTCATTAGTCCTTCTTCCTCTCTGACCCTGCACTCCCCTGGAATCCAGGTTTGGTTAACCCAGAGCTGAGCTGTTGGGCTTTCTAACTCTGTGTGTCCACAATCTCGGAGGTATATGCTATTTTGAAGCATCTCCTCACTGCAGCCGAGCGTATGTGAGAAGGGAGAGTCTTGAAATGAATATATACCCTTGGAGTGTCAGATGTCTCCAGTTTTAACCCTCCAAGGATACTGGCTTGTTAATCCAGGCAGATTTCTAGATGGTAGCTTTTTGGACAGTGAAGTGGGAGATTCTTCTGGGCCTTCCCAGAAACGACACCATGTGGTTTATCCCATTAAATGTGGGGCTAGGCCTGCATGTGGACCTGCCTGACACCCCCAAGGCTGGCTCATGACATCATTCCTCCTGCCCGTGGTGTTTGTCCTCCTGTAGGGATGATTCTCTTTTGGTAGGTTCCGATCGGCTGGGGTGGGAGAGGTACTCACAGCTGCATTTCCTTCAGGAATTACAGGTGAGAAAAGACCATGGCTATTTTCTTCATGGTTTGCATTATTCACATCCTCAGATCTCATCCTTCCCTTATTTTTCTTCTCTGGGAAGACTGGGGGCCAGTCTTGGGAAAGACCTGTATTTGCTGGTCCTGGGGAGGGTCTCCTCATTTGCTGTCTCTTTCTCTGCCCCAAACTTCCAGTGCAGGCACCGTCTTTCTCTGAACTCCCCACTGTTTCTATCTCCAACCTCCATTTCTCCTTAGGTCCTTTCTGTCTTGATGACAGCGATACTCTGTGGAATGGAAGGCCATGGAATGCTTCTCCTCGTCCTCCACCCTCCTGGCATGGAGCCGCAGGTCCCTCCCACTGGTTCAGGGACGGACACCTCTG